CTGTTTTATCTTATAAAATGAGATAATGATACCTTTTGTGAAATGGTCTATATTGTCTCTAATTTCTATTGCATTGCAATTCTGATATGCTGTACATTTCCCTCAATAAAATATTGATTAACAAAACAAAAACCATTAAAGAACACTGGATGAAATGTTTCATTATATATTAATATAATTAGTATATAATATATATCTATTAATATGCTTTACTTTGGATGTGAAACACTTGCAAGACTGGGCTTCCCATGTGCTGATTTAGCTTGTGCGCCTGGCTCCACTGTTAATATTTCCCTGCGTTACACATTCTGAGTCTCAATAAAATCATTGAGATTTTGTAGATCCTCTGTTTTTAATGATTATGTAACCAAGAGCTTACGTACCACGGGACACAAGGGTCAGAGGACTATATTTACAGACCACTGTGTACAGTATGAGGGGGCGGGGCCATGCACAGATCACTGTGTACAGTATGAGGGGGCGGGGCCATGCACAGATCACTGTGTTCAGAATGAGGGGCGGGGCCATGCTCAGATCACTGTGTACAGTATGAGGGGCGGGGCCATGCTCAGATCACTGTGTTCAGTCTGAGGGGGCGGGGCCATGCACAGATCACTGTGTTCAGTCTGAGGGGGCGGGGCCATGCACAGATCACTGTGTTCAGTCTGAGGGGACGGGGCCATGCACAGATCACTGTGTTCAGTCTGAGGAGGCGGGGCCATGCACAGCTTACTGTGTTCATTCTGTGGGGGTGGGGCCATGCACAGATCACTGTGTTCAGTCTGAGGGGGCGGGGCCATGCATAGATCACTGTGTTCAGTCTGAGGGGGCGGGGCCATGCACAGATCACTGTGTTCAGTCTGAGGGGGCGGGGCCATGCACAGATCACTGTGTTCAGTCTGAGGGGGCGGGGCCATGCACAGATCACTGTGTTCAGAATGAGGGGCGGGGCCATGCTCAGATCACTGTGTACAGTATGAGGGGCGGGGCCATGCTCAGATCACTGTGTACAGTATGAGGGGCGGGGCCATGCACAGATCACTGTGTTCAGTCTGAGGGGGCGGGGCCATGCAGGGATCACTGTGTTCAGTATGAAGGGGCGGGGCCATGCAGGGATCACTGTGTTCATTCTGAGGGGGCGGGGTCAAGCTCGGATCACTGTGTTCAGTCTGAGGGGGCGGGGCCATGCTCAGATCACTGTGTTCAGTCTGAGGGGGCGGGGTGTAATGAATATGCCCAACACGCAGAGTGTAAATCACCAGAACCACAAAGGTAGATAGGTAAAGCCCCTATACCGGTCCTTAGAATGGCCGGGCTGAAAGGAGCTAGCGGAGCCAGAGACAAGCCGCGGTCAAAGGAGTACAGAAAAACACAAAAGCGAGGAACAAGCCGAGTCAGGAAACCAGAAACCAGAGGAGTCAAGAGAAAGCCGAGTCAAAACACAAAGAAGCAAACAGGAACGTGCTGAGGAGGAACTAGGAACCACAACAGGGCACTGAGTTAAAGGCAGGCTGGGCTTTTATATGATTGGGGACATAACCACGCCCCCAAAGGGTAAGAGTAATTTGAGCTCTTGTGTTTAGAGCTCTTTTGTTTAGAACTCTTTTGTTTAGAGCTCTTTTACTAACATGTGACTGCATTGCCCCTTTAAAAGGGGCAGGGGGAAAAACGGCTGGCTTCCTTGATGCTTAATGTATCTATCTTCTGCGTGGAAGCGGCTGTCCGACCGATCCTGCTGTCGGCGGATCGGCGGGCTGGTAAGGTAAGTGTCCTGTTTCTTATAGTGAGCCATGCTCAGATCACTGTGTTCAGTCTGAGGGGGCGGGGCCATGCTCAGATCACTGTGTTCAGTCTGAGGGGGCGGGGCCATGCTCAGATCACTGCGTTCAGTCTGAGGGGGTGGGCCATGCTCAGATCACTGTGTTTAGTCTGAGGGGGCGGGGCCATGAAGAGATCAGTCTCCATCAGAATGCATACAGAGATCTTAGAGAGCAGCACCCTCTGTTCTGATCAGCAAACACCTGGCAGGAGGTAAGGAGGGACTTCTTAACACACAGAGTAGGTGCCCCCATCAGACATGGCACTGTATGCAGCTGCCTACTATCTTCTTATTATATTAGAATTCATCGCTTTGACTATTTTTCTTTTCTTTCATAGCCTACATCAAAACCAAGACTGGAAACAGAAAGTTCAACTGTAGTAAAGGTAACAGACTAAACAATATTCTATAGTTAATCTATAAGGTTTTCAGTCTCTGTAATACAATGTGTGTGCAATGCTGGTAGATATATTTTCTAACATGTGTGTGTCAGCAGGGCCGGTGCAAGGATTTTTGCCGCCCTAGGCAAAAGTAAAGTTTGCCGCCCCCATGTGACATCACAATGCCCCACCTATATGATCTGCCATGTTAACTAACACCAGTGCTGCAGTGCCGCCGTGTTTACATTAAAAGGCCTGCAGGGACAGGCTATAGACACCAGAACCACTATATTAAGCTGCAGTGGTTCTGGGGACTATGGTGTTTCTTTAATGTGAGGTGAATTAGAGATTAGTGCCACAAATTATATACTAGATTGCCTACTTACAACGAGATGAGGATGATGATGGGCTCTAGCTGCAGTCTGGCTCCACTGGTCTGGTGTAGAACAGGCTCTCTGGAGGCTGTTTGTAACTGTGGTCACAAAAATCAATGTTCTGGGAGAACGGGAAGAAGCTCAATTTTTTGAGGGCCCTTTACACAGCTCAAGATCTGGGTCCCAGGGTCCACCTTCATGTTCCACCAATGAGTTTGTTCACAGGGGGTGGAGTGTGTAGGGGATGTCCTGATATGTGTGTAAGGAATGCATTGTGTGAATCTGTGTTTGTATGTGTAAGGGCTGCAAGGTGTGTTTCTGTGTATGTACGGGATGCATGGTGTGCGTCTGTAAGGGGTGCATTGAGTGTGTGTAATGAATGCATTGTGTGTTTCTGTTTGTGTAAGGGTTGCATTGCTTGTGTATGTGTGTCTGTGTGTGTAATGCATTGTGTGTTTTTATGTGTGCAAGGGGTGCATTGTGTGTTATTGTGTGTGTGTGTGATGGATGAAAATCTCTCTCCCCTCCCTTGTCACTCTCTCTTTCTCCCCCCCTTGTCACTCTCTTTCTCCCCCCCTTGTCACTCTCTCTTTCTCCCCTTGTCCTCTCTCTTTCTCCCCACTTGTCCACTCTCTCTCTCCCCTTGTCCTCTCTCTTTCTCCCCCCCCCTGTCTCTCTCTTTCTCCCCCCCTTGTCACTCTCTCTTTCTCCCCCCTTGTCACTCTCTCATTCTCCCCCCTTGTCACGCTCTCTTTCTCCCCTATCCTTGTCACTCTCTTTATCTCACCCCTCCTTGTCACTCTCTTTCTCACCCGTCCTTTTCACTCTCTTTATCTCACCCCTCCTTGTCACTCTCTTTCTCACCCGTCCTTGTCACTCTCTTTCTCTCCACCCCTTGTCACTCTCTTTCTCTCCCCCTTGTCACTCTCTTTCTCTGCCCCTCCTTGTCACTCTCTTTCTCCCCCCTCCTTGTCACTCTCTTCTCCTCTTCCCCCCTCCTTGTCCCTCTTTTCTCCCCCCTTCTCCTCTCTTTCTCCCCCACTTGTCCTCTCTTTCTCCCCCCCTCCCAATTTCTTGCTCCCCTCCCCCCCACCTCTGTTGTAGCGTGGCCGAGCTCTGTATCATGGTCCGCGGGTACAGGGAGCTTTTGTTTCCTGTACCCAGCTGGACTAACAGGAAGTGCACTCTCAGTATGCACATCCTGTTAGTCCAGCCGGGTACAGGAGACAGATGCTCCCTGTACCCGCGGACCATGATACAGGGCTCGGCCACGCTACAGAGAGGGAGTGACAGGAGGGAGCGCTGAGCGCTTCCATCCTGTCAGCCCCTCTCCTCAGGCTGCAGCCGGGCGGTGCGGTCCGCTCTCATGGACACACCACCCGGGCAAAGCTGCAGCCGCCTGAGGCTCTCTACAGAGCGCTCGGGCGGCTGCAGCATGGGGGGGCCGGCGGATCTGGGGGGGGATTTCCCCATAACCTGTCCCCCCCGCATGATTTGCTGGGGGGGAAGCGTCCCACCCATCCCCCCCGGTTCCTACACCCATGGTCTTTTTAATGTAAACACACTGTCTTTTCAGATAAAAGACACTTTGTGAAGAGTGACATTGGCCCATATGGCAGAGCATATGGGCGGGGCATTGTGATGTCACATGGTGGGCAGGACATATAGAGGGGGCGGCAAATTTTTTTTGCCTAGGGCAGCAAAAATCCTTGCACTGGCCCTGGTTACACGGCAACCATTCACTACATCAAATTCATCCTCTACGTCAGGACACAATTCATAAAACTCTGATACGACCCTTCATCATATTCAGGTCATTCTTTTAGAATGAGCACTGCTTCTGCAGCCTTTAGTAAACATCCCAGCGCACATCATAAACTGGGACATTGGAATCGTCTGCATACTCCAGATATCCCTCAGAGAGGGAACTGAGGCAGGCATTTAAAGTACTGGTTATGTAATGTCAACACATATTAAGGATTAAACTGTTAAACTTTTTGCCCTCTTTTACAGGCCTACCCAAATGTCGGTTTCGGCACACCACAACCGACTTGTACCACCACTACTATAACTCGGCTTATTGTCCCCGACTACAAATGGAAAGGCGGAGCCTGCAATTGTGGGAGGGGTTTGTTCATCCTATAAATTCACAGGCCTCCCCGTTCCTCTGGGCCGAGACTTCCTGATTCAGCCCACCCACTGCTCCCTTTATTAAGCATTCACTTAGTGGGCCCTCTTTTACAGGCCTACCCGAACAATGGTTTCGGCACACCACAACTGACTTGTACCACCACTACTATAACTCGGCTTATTGTCCCTGACTACAAATATATATATACCCACAAGGAATGCAGTTCAGAAATCCGCATCAGCAGTATAGTTACAAATTCCTTACAAATAAGAAGCCACAGGCACTAAGCACTGTGGCATATATGTATGGTGGCAATGAAGGAGTTAATCTGTTTTGTTTCTAGGATTTGAATGTGAGGAATTTTACATCTTGTGGTAGATGGTCCGTTAGACAGGTATCTGGGCAGAATTGATGACACAGCTGTTTCTAGGGGCTGGAGCTGGCATGGGATTGGTTGAAAGTCGCAAGTAGAAAAAGAGCGTGAAACTGGAACAGTATAAAAAGAAGCAGCACAAGTTTAATCCAGTCAGAGTGGACTGAAGCAGGAACGGTGCGGACGGACCCCAACCCCCTCCCTTTACTTTTATTTAACTGTGTCAGGTTATACCTGTTGGTTTCACCACTTCCCAGGCACTTCCGGGTAGACAGAGCTCAGCCCCGCCCCCTTCTCTGACGCGGTCTCCTCACGCTACATAGGGAGACCGCGCCAGATTCAAAATGGTGGATTATTGTGAGGTTTCCCCCCCGAGATCCTCAGACCGGCTACAAAATTATTGCAACTACTATTACGTGTACC